GCGGGCGGGGCTGGCCTGAGGGGAGGAGGCGCCGTGCCTGGGGCTCTCCGCTTGCCGTGACAGCCGCCCCGCTGCCGCCTGCAGACGTTCCCCCGGGCAGCGGTTATCGGGCTCTGCGGAAGACCAGCCTGGCCGCGGTTGTCGCTTAATAGAGGAGAGCGTCAGTCCGCGAGCAGGGGCCAGGCCGGCAGCGCCCGCGCCGTCCTGCCCGGAGAGGTTCGAGCAGCTGCTGCTGCGGGTTGTGAAACGTTCTTCCTAGGGCTGGGGGCGGGGGGGTGGAAGGTGGGGCCTGAAATCCCGTGGTGCTGCCCGTTTGTGTTTTTTCCTAGGCGTTTTCCATTAGTTCATTCATATTTATAAACGCCGGTATCGTATGCGAGAAACGCTTAATTGAAACAGGCTAAATAATATACGTTGACGTGAATTATTCAAAGCTGGTGCGTGTGGCTACCTGATATCTAGTTGTTTCGCCTGAGAGATGTAAAAACTCCTGGAATTAAGTTACTCTGTTCCACGGTAGCCTGTACTTGAAGCATCAGCTTCGTGTGTGCTGACCTTTGTAGCTCCGTGGATTGACGGGCAACTGTTTGGTACCAGGCAGGGTCGATTGTGTCAGCTGTAACCTTCAGTTACTGTAAGAGTTTGGGATATGCCTTGGTTCCCTGGGAGTGTTCTAGAACTCCTTCAGTTGGAAGCGAACTGTCAGACAGACTTTCAGTTTCTGTTTGAAACCTTGTGTGCAGGGGTGATCCTGTACCGCTTCTCCCTCTTTCTTTTTTTCTCTCCACCTTATTGGAAGACAGCCAGATTTGGGGAAGTTGTTTTTTAAGCTGGAATACATCTTATGAATCAGCTAGAGGGGGAAAATATCTGCCAGAATAAGTTTAGGTCATAAATTATTGCATGTTTAAAACCAATTGCATTAGCTTTCTCAAATTTTAGAGCTGTAAATATCCTTTAAGCTATTTTTATCAAGTGTTGGGGCTGCTGCTCTCATGACACACTCCTCTTTGGCCTTGACTTTAGAATCTTTACATGGGTAAGCTCTGAATGGTAGCAGCTGTTTTTAATGATGCAGATCTCTTCTGTATGTTGCACTGGTAAAGGTGTACTGATACTGCTTTGATATTTAATTTCTTAATTTATAGATTGTGTTTATTCTCAAAATCAATATCGAAGATGCATCTCCAACACTCACTAAAGAAACCAGCTTTTGAAGCAGGCTTTCTAGAGTGCCCCAGTGTGTGGGGAAGAACTGGTCTTTAACGAAATAAACCGCTTGTCTTACACAAGCGTCCTCTTTTCCTGTAGAACAAAAGCACTATAGTGTTCTGTGTAGTCACATCGTGTTCGTGTGACTTTTAAAATAGCATGAACTGTTCATTTTTATGAACAGTTACCATATAAAGTTGCAAAATTATGAACTGTTTACCTTAAAGGAAAGAAATTGTATTTTTATGATTGCCAGATGATGTATACAATGGAGAATAGAAATAGTTACTTTTAAAAAACAGTTATTAGAAAACTTGCAGAGTAGGCCGTGTGGACCTTTTAACACTACGCCAAAGTTACTTGCCTTGGTGAACTCCTAGGAAAACATGAACTGTTATCTCATGTGATGGTGCTGCTGAAGATAGGGTATAGATTTTTTTTTTTTCCTTTCTGTCAAGAATTTTTCCTCCACTATATTATTGATGGCTTATCAACGTATTTGTTAAAGTGAAAGCAAGTGGTCTCTTTGTTCTCTTTTCAGGCTTTCAGTATGTCCTGGTTTCAGCCGGGATAGAGTTAATTGTCTTCCTAGTAGCTGGTACAGTGTTCTGTTTTGGGTTCAGTATGAGAAGAATGTTGATAACACACTGATGTTTTCAGTTGTTGCTAAGGAATGTTTAGACTTAAGTCAAAGATTTTTCAGCTTCTGATGCCCAGCCAGCAAGAAGGCTGGAGGGGCACAAGGAGTTGGGAGGGGACACAGCCAGGGCAGCTGACCCAAACTGGCCAAAGGGGTATTCCATACCATGGGACATCATGTCCAGTATATAAACTGGGGCGGGGGGAGTGGCCTGGGGCAGATGGCTGCTGGGGGACTAACTGGGCGTCAGTTGGTGGGTGGTGAGCAATTGCATTGTGCATCATTTGTACATTTCAATTCTTTTATTATTATTATTGTAATTTTATTAGTGTTACTATTGTCATTATTAGTTTCTTTTTTTCTGTTCTATTAAACCGTTCTTCTCTCACCCCATGAGTTTTACTTTTTTTTCCCCCAGTTCTCTCCCCCATCCCACTGGGTGGAGGGGGGAGTGAGTGAATGGCTGCATGGTTCTTAGTTGCTGTCTGGGGTTAAACCAGGACACAGTGGGAAAGAATTCTTGAGATAGAGTGGGGTGTGGGGACTTTTTTCTTTTTTAAATGCAAAACTTACTTGCCATCTTCTCTGAAGGGAAGCAAAGGGAAAAAGGAGTGGCAGTTGCTACAGTGCATTTGAGGATGATGGTCTCAGGCTGTTCTTCATCAAGATAGATTCACAGCTAAGAGCTATTGTATTCTGCCTGGTTGTTGTATTGCCTAGAACCAGTTAGTCATTAGGATGTAGCTTGAGGGTAGGGAAGGTTCAGCTGAGTGCCTTATGCCTATGCTTCAGGCGGTGAAGGCCCAGATCAGTTGTGGTCAGCTGCTCTTTGGCAGAGCAGCATGCAGCCAAGTTAGGCTGGACTAGCCTTTGTGGGAGGAGGGTAGGGCTGGGCAGCAGCATTTGGCAGGAAGATCAAAATGAAAAGTGGGAGGAAGATGGAGTCTGTCCTGAGGGGCAGGAGGAAGCACCTGACACCTGAGTTGTGTGTGGGAGCTGTTGACTGCTTGTAAGGGGCTAGCCTAAACTTTTTTTGTGGCCTTCTGATGCTGGTTAGTTTCTATAGACATCATTAATATGGACTGAGTCTAGTGCTGGTGGTAATTCTTTTCTTTGCAAAGTTATCGCTTAAGCCAGTTCAGCTAGGCGTTGAGGGTACATTTTAACATATGCTGGTCTTGCAAAGAAGTTACTGATTTGTACTAAGTAGGAGAATTGAATAAATTTGACTGTAATTATTTGTTTGGCATAAACGTCCGCTAGACTCATACAGGAGAACGGTATTGGTTCACTGTTATACCTTGATAGCTACTTGTGATAGTTTTTTAGAAAAACCGCAATGGTTTGTATGTGCAGATGTTAAAATGTATGACTGCTATTAACATTTTTTTTAATTGTGAATTAAGCTCAACAGTGAAGCAGATCTAATTGATGAAGGTCTGTGGTGGAATACATGGATGCCTGAAGCACTTGGGAGACTCTTAGCTGATAATTCATGCCCAAGTTCTACTTGAATATTCACTGCATGAATACTGAATCTTTTTTATTTCCACAGGATCTAGTACTACAAAACAGCAGTAACCTCAGCCATGGAGAACGCAGATAATACAGAGGAGGAGAAGCCGACTGTAAGCAATGACAGCACAGACAATGGCGCTGAAACGACAACAGAAGAACAGCAGATGGACTTCAGTACAGAAATTATGAGTGTAACTGAGATGGAACAATCACCTGATAGTACCCCTGACTTGAATGAAGAGAACACACAGGAGAGTGAAATTCCAAATATTGAAAGTTTGCAGACAACAGATATTGAGGCTTGCTTCCCTCCAGATTTTGACAAGTTCTGGAAAGTAGTAGAGGACAATCCCCAGGATTTCACAGGATGGGTATATCTACTACAGTACGTAGAGCAGGAGGTTAGTACATGCCCCCTTTTTCCCTAGCCTTCCAGAAATAAACAAAGAAAACCAAAACAAGCCATGGGTATTCCAGTGACAAATCTAGAACTGTACATCAGGCTTTCATAGATGCTGTTTTAAGACAATTGCCCTTGCCAGTGTCATCAGCAGAGATCACAAAATGCAAAATCGTTTTTAAGACAATGTTAAAACATTTATTGTTTTTAAAATAACGCGAAGTTTTTTTTAAGGAAAGGATTCATTGCTTTTGTTGTGTATTTCTTGCAGAACCACTTACCAGCTGCCAGGAAAGCATTTGACAGGTTTTTCACACACTATCCATATTGCTATGGATATTGGAAAAAGTATGCAGACCTTGAAAAGCGGCATGACAACGTTAAACAATCTGATGAGGTATGTAGGTAGCTGGGCGCAGCTATTGCCATTGGTCCTGTTAGCCAAATAATGACTAACCTACTGCAAGTCATTTGGCTGTCAGTACCTGCCATGTATGGTCAGGTTTGTAGGGATTTTGTTTGCACTTGTCACGTCTGTGGCATTTGTAGCTAATGTTTTTTCTCTTTGTTGGCAGGTGCGTTAAACCTCTACAGTTTGTCAAGCTTTGCAGTGCAAGCCTCTGTATTACACTGCAGCTTAACAAGTAGGGCAGGGCTTTTCTGTCACTTACATTTATTACTCATTTTCAAAACAATATAGTTGGTTTGCTGGTCACAATTGCTACATCTTATTGCATTTTTGGTCAGACGCTGTCAATGATGCTCTAATGGGTCTGTGCCCTATGGTCTGTACCCCAAAGCCTGCCCACACAACCTGGTCAGAATGCAGGGACCGCTGCGCTTTGAAGATCAAGACTCTGCACGTGGAGATCAGAACATTGCCATGTTCTATCCAACCTCCACCCAAATGGTAATGGTAGATTATTTAAACAAAATTCCAGTAATTAGTATTTCTAAGGTTCACCGGATAACACAGTGTTGCCTCTCTATTAGGACGCCATTAAGTATTTGAAGTACAGTTCATGTTCTCTTCATAGGTTTATCGCAGAGGGCTGCAGGCAATTCCTCTTAGTGTTGATCTTTGGATACATTATATAAACTTCTTAAAGGAGACCTTGGACCCTACTGATCCTGAAACTAATAGTACTATTCGAGGGTAAGTTGAAAGCAGACTTAAGTGATACAAGAGACCCACACATACAGTTACATAGCAGTGTAATCAGATTAATATGTTTAAGCTAAGGGGCAAGCTAATAACAACCTGCAGTTATTTTAAGGACTTTTAAGAGATGATGGAGCCAAATTCCCTAGAAGGGGTAGACAATACAGTGTGGTACAAGGGTCAAAAGTTGTGACTTTGGAGGTTGGTAGAGACTGTGTATTTTCCTAATATCTTGCATTCCTGCAAGTGGATTTTTCTGTTGCCTTTATTTGTTCTGTTGCAGTAGTGCTGGAGGAAAAGAAAATGAGTGCGAACTTTCTGAATTTTTAGAGATCTTGCTACAGATATCTAGAGAATACTTTGCAGAATTTAAATAATGAATATAACTGTGGTTGCAAGTAAATGAGGATGCTCATAATCTTTAAATAAGAGCGCAAACTTTTCTTCCTTGTTCTGTCACCACATCTAGAAACAACTGTAAAATTATTTCATTTTTCAGAGCCTATGAACATGCAGTCTTAGCTGCTGGGACAGATTTCCGTTCTGACAGACTATGGGAAATGTATATAAACTGGGAAAATGAACAGGGAAACCTAAGGGAAGTTACATCCATCTATGATCGTATCCTTGGAATTCCAACGCAGCTCTACAGTCATCACTTCCAGAGGTAAAGAGAAAACAAAGATTTAGTTAATGCTATGAATTTCTTAAGCACACGCTAACCTAATTCTGTAAATGTGAAAATGTTCACTCAACAAGAACTTGAAATAGTTACTTAGTTTTATATACTTATCTACTTATTTATGTACTCATACAGTCTGACTGGTTGTTTTAAAGTACTAATACATGTTTTAGGAATTTGGCTTTAGATAAATGCACAAATTCTGTGGAATAAAGGAAGGCCTTGGAATTGTGAGGAAGAAGAGAGGATGTCTTTGAAAAATCAGATTGAGCAGTTTTGAAATTTAATTCCTCATGCAATGCTCACATGTGGTGAAAGACTAATTAAATTGACTAAAGAGAAATATTTGGTTAAGTTTTAGATAGTAGAATTCTGCATTAATATGGAGAGGTTAAGAGGGAACCAGAAACCTTGGTTAAGTTATGCACCAGTCTTCCCCATAATTTCTACAGATCTTTTGGGTTTGGAAATAAAGTATCTTCCTCTAAAATCGATCTTGTCCTTTGGCATCAATTATGCATGGCAAGTGGTCTGTCTTCACCACCGAAGTTCATCGTCCTTTCCTTTCTCTTTGAAATGTGAAGCGTTTGAAGTCTGATAGATAGTAGAAGTTGCATTTTGTGTGTATGTTGTTGGAAGTTGCATTTTCAGTGTTGCTCTAGGTCGATAAAGTAATGCAGAACCTCACTAGGATTTATTACTGTGCTCTGGTTAGGCAGAGTTTTGCAACATGAAACATCAAATTTGTGTTGACTTGTTTCTAACTATTCTTAGGTTTAAAGAACATATACAGAACAACTTGCCTCGGGACCTTCTGACTACGGAGCAGTTTGTTCAGCTGCGCAGAGAGCTAGCATCTGTGAATGGCCATAGCGGGGAGGATGCGCAACCTGGAGACGACCTGCCCTCTGGTACTGAGGACATAACTGACCCTGCCAAGGTACATATGCAGAGGATGTTCGTCGGCATTTCTTGCTTTACTCCGTGGCTGACAAGATTAATTTATTTGCAGACAATTAGTACAGCTGTAGCTGAGGTGTTTCTGTAGTTCTCTTGCAGATCATTGCTCTGTGGCTCATGTGATAACTGCTTTTGCCTACAGGACATACCTTTCCAGTGTTTTCATAGGTATAAAAGAAATGGAGTTAAAAAATTGAAGAAGTGGTGTACAAAACTTTAGGGATAAATATTAATTATTCCAGATTAACAGATTAGGAACTGTGGTCCAAGAAAGCTCTTCGTCAGCAACAGTCAGTGCAGGTTCATAGCCTTCAAAGGCATATGAAAACTTGGAAACGTCCAGAGGAATTGCTGACTGTGAAAATGTACACATACTGAAACCGAGTTTGACTTGGATCCAAAATCATCTTTAATCATCTTTAGCGTAAGAGCAAAACTTCAGATAGAAAACCAATTCAGTTGGGTTGCGCCAAGGCACCATCAGGGCAGTATCCCGTCCCTTCCACTGTTCAGGGTAACATTTAATGCATCTCTGATACTTCTAACTTATGCATGTTATTGTCATCATAAAATGAATTTACAAAGGTGATACAGTGTCTACCTGTGTTACATTTTTAAAAATTATGTTTTAGCTAATCACTGAGATAGAAAACATGAGGCACAGAATCATTGAGATTCATCAAGAAATGTTTAACCACAATGAACATGAAGTCAGTAAGAGGTGGACATTTGAAGAAGCGGTAAGTTTGTTTTTTCTACATAAGGCAGCATGCACAAGTGTTTTGAACATAAGACTGGGAGCTAGGAATTTTGAGTAACAGTTAGGCCTTACAACTTAAACTGTTGTAGGGCTTTGAACAAAGATCCAAGTTTCACGTCTTTGCTGTTTTTTTTATGAAAAGGCAACTTGTGAGGTCACCTTTGTCATCTGACGACTTAAAAATCTTTAATTATTTTATTATTTAATAGTATTCGGAGACAGGCAAGATGGTGTATTGTTTACTAAGCAGCCTTTAAATGCAGAAGCATGAAATGCTATGTAAGTTAGTACTACCTTATGCATCTGGGGCATTGCAAAATAAGGGGATGAAGGTAATTCTGATTGAAAAGGTAAGCCTATCCTAAAAGGAGAATGAAATCTGTATGTTTTTGTATTTTAATGTTACACTCTTACACCTGCAATCAGTTAACTTTTGCTTTCCAAAAGTAGCCGTCATAACATGCAGCTCCTATGTATAACATATTCAAAGTAATTAATTAAACTAATCATTTGATCACTGCAAATATAGAACTTTTTCTGTGTAGAATTAAGTTTGGTTACTTTTGAAAAACAACCTGACTTTTTAATTCTCGGTCTCTTTTTTATTTTTTCCTTCCTGGCAAATAGCATATTGCATAACATGGTTCTTGTTTTAAATTTACTTTCTTTTTTAAAAGTACATTGAAGATCTGTCCCAGCTGTTTGATACAGAGACTCCTTAATGGGTTAAGTGATGTCAGAACTGTTATGTTGCTTACTGCACTTTGTTGGACTAGGCCAGATACCTTCTAAGCCGGAGGAACTCCAGGACATGGTACCTAGCTAGTCCTAGCGCCGTAAACTAGAACATAGTCTAACTCGGGTGGGTTATCCCTTCTGTTACACAGCAGCCTGAAGGGCTGATAGCAGCCCTACATGCCGCAGGGTCGCTTTCGTACAGGTTACCTGTCGTAGAAGGAAGCAGAGCATGCAGAGCATGTCCCTAGAGTAGGTGAGGCTCAAATACGCTCATGTAGTGTGGAAAATGGTTATGTGGGGATAGGTGTTCTTGGCTTCGGAAACTGTAAGCTACAAATTGTTGAAACTTGGGAGAATGCTAAAACTGTGGACACACTGGAGAAAATGTGTAAGAAAGAGGGTGTCCTTTCTTGCTCCTGCCCAGAATCAGTACTTTTTCTACAAAGAGAGTATATCTGCTCTGTAGATACCAACGTGTTGGATCTCTGAGGTGTTTGAAATACAAGGTTAAACGTGTCTTTATAACAGACAGAAATGAGGTAGACAGGCAACAGATGTCACATAAGTGATGGAGACCACTTAGACCTGCTTTACTGTTATTTTAGCAGGAGCAATGTACCTGTGAATTTGTCAAAATGGAAAAAGAGTATTGGGTTCCACAGTAGAGTTCAGTGAGGAGCATGAAGGGGGTAATTGGCTTTGAATTTCAGCTGGCCTTGAAGAATTGAATGTTACTGCTTAATTATTGTAAGTTCTTTATCCGTTTGTATGTATTTGTATTTGAGATGGTGTGGCAGTACAGGAGAGGTAATCAGGTAAAATAAAAGATTTGGAGAGAAAAAGCAAAAGATCTCTGGAAGAATGCCTTGTTATGTTTAGTTCAAACAATGTTTAAATTTTCTGTGCTGAACTCTGTCCCACCCAGCTCCTCTTGTAGTCATCAATAAAAATGCGATCTTGCTAGCTCTTGGAATAATCAGCTTAATGTAAATATTTAATGTGAAGTTCAATTCAATGTTCTGTCTTGTCATGATTCTCCACCAAATTTTGAATTTAATTTGTAGGATATGCGCTAGTACAACAGTAATTTCTTTAGAGTTGTATGTATGTGGGCAGTATTCATTGTTGTTTACAATGTCATTGTTATGTTGTGACCACAGGTTTGCAAGGGATTAACTGCACTAAGTTCTTTCTCAGCTTCTGTAAACACTTGCACTCAAAAACCTTTCTCAAAAAACAAGTTACTAGCCTAGAATGTAATTGTCAGCAAAATCTCTTGAGATCGGTACTTGGGTAACCCCAGCAGACTTACTTGAATAGCTAATGACGTATCATTCGGAAGTCCTGTTTATTTAAATGGCATTGCTTGAAAGGTGTGTGGCTCTTTGGTTTGTGGGTTTTTGGGGGTTTTTTGGGTTTTTTTGTTTGGGTTTTTTTAAGCCACTTTGTGGTATGCTTATTAGTCGTAAGTTGCCATACTGTGACTCTTGCAGATTAAGAGGCCTTACTTTCATGTAAAACCTCTGGAGAAAATTCAGCTGAAAAACTGGAAAGAGTACTTAGAATTTGAGATAGAAAATGGCACTCATGAGCGAGTTGTGGTCCTCTTTGAAAGATGTGTTATTTCATGTGCCCTCTATGAGGACTTCTGGATTAAGGTAAGGGAAGTGGTTTACCACCTATCTCCTACCGATTGCATACATTGATCTAGTGACTAACCTTTTGTACTCTTGTGGAATGTTGTTCATATATAACTATATCTGTTGCATTAGGAGATGGTCTGCTTGCAACCAGATTTGACTGCTGCATATGCCAACTTCGTTGCCTCTCTACGTCCTTCCTTACAGAAACTAGTCTAGTGGTTCAATAAAGGTGCTGAATGGGTTTAAACAAAAGAATTTTATCGTTCTGTCATGTTTTTAAAGACAAATACAAGCTTTAAATTCTTCAATCTCTGCTCTGTTTTCAACTATAGTATGCCAAATACATGGAGAATCATAGTATTGAAGGAGTGAGGCATGTCTACAGCAGGGCTTGCACAATACATCTTCCTAAGAAACCAATGGTTCACATGCTGTGGGCTGCCTTTGAGGAGCAGCAGGGTAAGAGCAACGTTAGTTTTTGCTGGGAGGGATTCTGGTTTTGAGAGGCTGTTGGATGTCTCATCTTAAAGTATCTTCACTGGTATTTTAGGCAACATCGATGAAGCAAGAAGAATCTTGAAGACATTCGAAGAGTGTATTCTAGGGCTAGCAATGATTCGCTTGCGAAGAGTAAGCTTAGAACGCAGACATGGAAACATGGAAGAAGCTGAACATCTGCTTGAAGAAGCTGTTAGGAATGCCAAATCAATTAGTGAATCGTCGTTTTACGCCATCAAATTAGCTCGACACCTCTTCAAAGTACAGAAAAATCTTCCAAAGGCAAGAAAAGTGCTGTCAGAAGCCATAGAAATTGACAAAGTATGTGTTCCCTCTTTGCTATATTTAAAAAAAAAAAAAAAAAAATCATGGTATTTTTCTCTCTTTCTGAACCTTTTTTTTTTTTTTTTCTTTTTTTAAAATATGGCAACAATGATGACAGGAATTGTAACTGTATGTAATGTTCCATTACTACATGGAGACACCAGTCCCTCTAAACTGATGTTGCCGTATGTGCAGCTTGCAAATCTGGAAGTTTGCATTTTTTTTTCATCAGAATCACGATGTGCTATATACATTCATTTTTCCTTTTTAGAATCTTACATATTATAGGCATGTTCACATCTCAAGGCAAACAAAATTGATCACGTAGGCAGTACTTGTAGACTGTTTGGTTATAACCACAGAAATATTTGGCACTCCAAATACTATTAGCTCACTGTTAGCGAAGCGTGACATCTGGTTTTGTAGTGTTAGATCACTTCTAATCTATTTGTGAAACAAGCCAGGTCAAAGATGACCAATGTAAAAAGAAAATCTTTTTATTGACTATTCTAGCATATACTTATGATGTAAACGTTCTGGTATGCATCTGGTAGCTATACATTCAGCATTAAATGCCTAACGTGACAGATGTACAACTTCTAATATGTCTTTTGCACAGGAAAATACAAAACTGTATCTCAACTTACTTGAAATGGAGTACAGTGGTGATCTCAAGCAAAATGAAGAAAACATCTTGAGCTGTTTTGATAAGGCTGTCAATGGCGCATTGTCTATAAAAATGAGGATTACGTTTTCTCAGCGAAAAGTGGAATTTCTTGAAGATTTTGGTTCTGATGTAAACAAGTAAGATGTAATCTGTGCAATGGCCAAATTAGGGTCACCACAAGAGTGCTGGTAGAAGCACTAGGGAAGGGGTAGGGTTAGTGGCATCCACTGAGTTTTTTCTTTTGTGCCATCAGTTCTCTGTTGAGGGATAGCTGCTTTTCTAAACCAGCTTCCTATTTTTAAATAGGAATATAATTTCAGAAAATTATCCTTTTTTTTCTGAAATAGCTAACGCCTCATAGAGCAAAACTATGCTGCCCATAACTTCTTACCGTAGTTTTCTCTTGGTAAATTTTATAAAGGAGGATGTTCCTCAAAGAGAATGTGAAGTTTTTTGGGACACAGGTATAATCTGGTACTTGGTACACTGTGAGCTGCTGGTCAAATCTGCGTTGATTTGATTTTTATATGTTTAAAGTGTTAACAATGCTGTACACTTATGTGGGAGGATCAGATACTAGAAGTGCAACTTTTTAATTAAATACTAGATATACTTTTTTTCTCTTAATTTTCTATTGTAAAACAAGCCCTTGTTTTCATTTACATTTGCAGCTAATTAACTTCGAAGGACTAACCATGAGTTAGTTTTTCTGCTTTGTATGTTCTTTAACAATAGCTGTCCTTAATTTTTGCTGACTCTGGCCATCCTAACTTGCATGGCAGCCAAGCATTGCAAGTTTGGGATCCTACATAGAGCAAACAAAATGAAGTTTTCAGTTCCCAAATAATACTAGAGCATAGAATAAGTACAAGAAATGGTTTTCACCAAGAGCAATATTGACAGAAGAAGGAGTTTTCATGGGATACCTTGTAAACTGTGGTATGCAACAGATGAAATGGTATTTAGCTATTTGTGGGAATTCTAGCTAGGACTCTTTTGTGCTGCATTAAATGTACTTGTTCTTCCCATGTTGTCTGGGAGAAGGCTGTAGGTGCTACTTTGGAGTGGTTGTAATTTTGTGTAATACCCATTGCCAGTATTTAAAGAAATGTTGATTCCTAAGTATCAGGGCTGCTATGTGTGGCATCAACAGGCAGCTGAGGGAATGCAATCACTGGAAGAAGCAGCTGTATCACAAATTAGTTTTAGAAAACTTATTTATAAAGGAACTTTATAAAAGAACTGCCCAAAGTGTGATAGAAGTTGAGCAAGTTGGGAATTTCTGAGCTAACAGAAAATTCTTCACTATGCTTTGTGGAATCAGATTAAGTTTTTTGGCTTTCCCATCTTCATGGTAGATCACTGATTAAAATTTGATTACAATTGAGGTTTTTTTAGAATGTTTTTGTATTCTTAAGAGTTTCAAGTAGACATTGTGAAATGGTTGCTCATGTGTTTAAAATGTTTACATGAAAATGGTGAGCAAAGCTTTCTTTCATTTTGTCTCCTTCAGGCTTCTGGATGCCTATGATGAACATCAAGCACTTCTAAAGGAGCAGGATTCTTTAAAAAGGAGAGCAGAGAATGGGTAGGAAGTCTGTTCACCTGAGGGTATAAACTAACTTGGTAGATGATGCAGTATGGGGTAGCTGGAACATGTACTACATTGCACTGTACACTACACTACACAAAGCACTTTTTGGAAATGCTTTGAAATTAGTTCAGAGAACAATCTCGGAGTCTGTGGGTTTTTTTTTCTTTAATCTATGAATATATATACATATATTTTTCAGCTTTAAACCTACTGCTTGCAAGAACAAAATCACTGTTTTTAATCACTTAAAGTACAAACTAAGTTTGGTTATACCGTTGGTTAAAATATTTGGAAACAGATTTATTGGAAAATAACATTTTGAATTATGTATCACAGGAAAACTAAACAGTACTGGTACTCTTAAGCAGAAACGTGCTTTTGCTGTCTCGGTTTGAGCACCAGAACAATTTAAAAAACAGACTATCATTCTGAAGCACAATATACTACTGTCTTTTTCTAAATCAAATTGTTACTCTGTTTGGACAGGGCACCAAGTTTCAAAATACTAATTAACCTTATCCATGATAACATTTCTCATGCAAAGACATGCTCAGAATTTAATCCAAGATAGCATTTATAAGCATATATTAACTTCACAGATCAGAGGAGCCAGATGAAAAGAAAATGCTCACAGATGACCCAACTTTGGCATCAGCACAGATGATGGATGGAGACATGCAAGTCAATCAGGCAGCGTATAACTACAATGCCTGGTACCAGGTAGGTGTATGCTTGGTTACTTCTTTCAACACGCGTGTTCTGAACGTATGCACGTTGTGGTTTTCCCAGTGACGTTTGTCCATGGCCTGTGTCAGTTGGCGAGGAAGGCTTGGAGTAAAAATTTAGCTCCTGTTTTTGTTGATTCCTCTTTGGCCTGTTACGCAAGTGTAAAATATTTCTCTCTAGTGTGGAGCAAGATGAGCAGTTTGGTGGCTAGACATTTACGTGAAGGGATGTGTGACAGCAGTTAAGGCCATTGCGGGCTAAGGGCAATAGACCTGTTCTGTGCTGAAACGTTTTGCCCAGGAGGGTCGCCTTGGGCTGCCAATTTACTTGCGTGTTTTGATAGTTCCTTTCTCCAACTAGTAGTTCCTGGTTTCGGTATGAGTCTGCTGCACTGGTATATAGTGCATGCAAACCAGCCTGTTCAACAGCTTGTCTTGGGGGCTGTTCCTGCATGGCATTTCATGTTGTCCCCTACAGGGGCTTAAAGAGTGAATCAGTAATACCATACCTTGGTTTCCTCCTCCTGTTTGTGGCAGCAGCAACCTCCAGCACAGGCTCTGCTTGCTTCTAGACTGACTGTCCGTTTTTGTGCTCTGACTTGTCCAACAGGGCAGGCTGTAAAGTCAGAGCTTCAACCCCTGCCTTTCTGTGTGAGATTAATACTGGTAAGGGTGGGTGCTGCCGGTGCCCCCTCAGCTGGGGCGAGAGTGATGTGCTGCAGGTGTGGAATGCTGCTTATTCTCAGTTGTGAGTTGCAGAGGGTCCAACTGAAACTTTTGCTGAAGCAGTTTAATGAATACTGTGGTTTAGACTGCAAGGAGCCTAGCAAGCCCCTGAGAACAGTGTTTGCAGATGGGACACAAATCAGTCCTTGTGTACCTGTGGTTTAGAAGTGCCCGCATCAAGGCCAAGCGTTCTTTCCAAAGTCAGGCAGTGAAAGGTGTCTCACCCAGCATGGGGAAACTCTCAGCACTAGGCCAGGAAAAACGCCCCAAGTTTTCAGGCACAGAACCGTGGGAACAGCAGACTTGGAGTGTCGAGGAAGATCTCAGCCCTGTGGTTGACATGGTAACTCCATCACTGTCTGCCTCCTGTGTGTTTCACAGTCTGCTTGAGAGTAGCAGACAGAAACCCTTTCTGAGGGAATGGAGACATTTGTTTGTGCTATCCCGAGGATGTTACACGGCTGAATACCTACCTAGGCTCAGCTGGGATAGTTGGGGTACAGCTGGTTGCAGCAAGACCATGAGGACTGCCTCAGTGATGGTTTCTGCTAGCTGCAAACCCATGGCTTCAAAGGGAGTAGTGGTGGGGCACTTGAGCTGTCTGTTCAGGCTCTGCCATCTTGTGGGGCGTGCCGTGAGAGCAGCTAGAATGCAGACAATTTGCGCTTCCTTTACCTTCTGCTCCCTCCCTTTTTCCTCCCTCTTACGAGAGCCTGTTGAAAGGGGAGTGACGCGGAGCCGAAGAGCAGGTACTAAAGAGGGGATCTGAGGAGCAAGAGCGAACCTCTGACCTGTCCTCTACTGGAAGACTTACCCTGTGCGTGTTTATTAAGCGACTAAAAACACGACCCACAATGGTACCAGGCTCTGTGCTGATCCTAGGTGTAGCTCTGACCCTGGGCTGAACAACACATCAGTGTTACCTCCCTAACAAAGCTGACTTCCCGGCGCTCTTCCAGGCGGTCGGGAGTTCCCGGGGCTGGGCCCTGCAGAGGAACACCCGTGTGTGTTCCACCCGGAGCGAGGCACGGGCTGCGTGCGGAGCCTTGGTAAAGGGGTACCGAGTCCTGAATGTTCCGGGTAGGACGTGGGCACCTCGCCGTGCTGGCCGCCACCAGAACCGCCCCAGTTACAGAAGGGCAGCCTTACCCGAGCCTTTTGGGAAGGACAAACAGCTCACTGTCAGGTATCCTCATGGAGCATGGGCAGTCTGACTTAATGCTGTTATCTGTTGTGTTTGTTTTTCTAGTACAATTACCAGAACGCATGGAATTATGGACAGTATTACCATCCAACTTGATCAGAAGAGTGAGTGAAGTTCACTGTGCCACAGTTTCAACAAAGATGGAATTAAAAAAAATATATATTTTTCTAAATTAGGGATGTGAAAGAACTGTTGTAATACCTGCTTTTTGGTCTTTTGCATGTGAAATGAGCTGATGTTCACAGGGTATGTGTGAAGCAAGATTTGTGTGCCGGTAACCGATAAATGGTATCTCTGTACAATTCTAGTTTACCGTAAATGCATTTTTTTTTTTTAATTCCCTGCACTAATTTATGGAGATATCTGAAGTTTTTTTTGGGTCTCATAATGATTCCATAGATTTAATCAGTAAAGCTGTAGGGGTTTTGTTCTGGTTTCTTTTTCTCCCCAAAGCTGTTCTGCTGACCAGTGTTGGCTGCCACGGCTGCTGCAGGAACGGCGCAGGTCGGGAGGGCTGGCAGTTCAGGAGCCAGGCTGTCCTCTCCTGCTCTGCTCTCCAACCGGAACGTCACCACCTGCTCTACCACGAGATCTCTTCCATGCCCTAGTGAGCAAATCCCCAACTCCTTTGTTTATGTGGTTACGATCGAAACTCTTCAGATTACGATGGCAGCCTTTGCACGCTGCGACCTGTATTTTCTATTCTATGTGGGGGTAAAAAATTAAAATGCAGTGCAAAATGATGTTGCATTCTTTTCTAAAAAGCACAAACTGTGTTTGGGATGATTTTTGTATTTAGAGTTTTTCATGTACACAGTGTGAGCAAACTTTTTTCATTTTGATCAAAGTGATCATTCCCATTTTTGTAATAAAAGCAAGGAATTCAGTAGTCCTCTGAGCTTTCTTGGATTGCCTTGTTCAAGCCAGGAGTAAGAGCGGCAGAGTCTCGGTTCATCACCGTTTTTGTTCAAACTGCAGTGTCTGTGGTACAGGAACACCTCAGGAACGTGTGGGGTGCGAGCAGGTCTCCTCAAGATGGGGCTGGGCAATGTGCCCAACGTTTCTCACCTCTAGAGGAGAAATGCAGTGGAATTTCCTTCCCCCCGCCCCCAACTAGAATACAAATGTAAATTTTTTCCTCTTCCCCTCTTTTAATATTTTAGGTTAACTAAGATTGTTGGGCGAGTGCTGTCGTAACACTCAGCAGCTCTGCAAAATATAAAGCTGAAAAGAGAAGCGCACTGGTGAAGGCTTGAGCCGGGTATCGAAGTAGCTGCTTTTCAGTAAATGATCACGCAGTATGGCAAGGGGTAATAAAAACAGTCCTGGCCCTTCTGAATAGGTCTACTCCTTTAACAGTCTGCTGGAGATCTATGCCATTTTTCCCCCATAGTAGGAGAAAGAAGTGTTAAGGTGAGCGTACACACAAGAAAGTGAAGTCACTTGCATGTATAAACTATGTTTTCTTTAGTGGTATGTTACTGTACAGCAGTTGGGGGGCAGGGAGAACAAACTTGATTTCGATACAAGGCCACAGTTGTAACTATATCCTGAAGTTACAAGAGCAAAACTGCATTGTCAGAAGCTTTCTTGATCATAAATGGATTCCCAGCAGTGAAGGAAACTCTTCATTTCATTCGATATCCACCAATTCCACTTCAAAGAAAAGTTTTGCATTTGGTGGAATCCTGTTTGCGCACGTTAAGGAAGCTTCAGAAGCAGAACCCCCACCACCCCTTACCCCATGGGCCAGGGTTAAGCGAGTTACCACCTGTTCTCCGTGTTCTCATGTGTCAGTTTTATATTTCACTGACCCGTTTGAACATCTTGGGTTTAGTACGGAACCGCGGCCACCATCCAACTCAAGTTGTCATGAGACGTTCAGCACCAGTTCCGCAGATACGCCTTTACTAACACATGCTTCTCATTGCTCCCATTCCACTGAAGACGAGCAGCTGAGTCTCGCCCAAACTGCCAAGCGCCTGCCCATTTTTGGGACATGGTCACTGGTCTCCCTCTGAGGAAGTTAGACTGTCCTACAGTACTAGAGAGGGAAGAAGAATGTCTAGACAGTCCTTTAAATTAGCATGACATAGGATTCGAGCGAGAGAGAACACTGCTTCCCTTCCTCTGGAAGCACTGGTAAAAAAACATGACTGCCCAAGGCACTCTGCAGGATCACTCACTCAGTCCCCTATTTCAGTGGTATCCCAGGACCAGTTCTAGCCAAGATTTCGCTGCTGTCTCTCCAGTTGCAGCAGAACTTCCCTCCCACCTCCCTACTACACTGCTTAGCATCCCCACTGGTGCTGCAGGAATAAGCATTTGGAAGCAGCCAGAGTAAAAAAGCAGGCAGACAACAATAGCAAGTTATCCTCTGCAGTACTGCCTGCAGGAGCTTTTCTTCAAAACAAATGGGCAATTGTATCCATCCATTAAGTTCACTGGATTTTTTTATATTGTTAATGTTCCAAGCCTGCTATGAGTAACAGGTGAATGCTCCCACCATTATATCCCTGTCCATAAAGCACTTTATTCCAGTAAGCATTTCCAAGTTACTTAATGAGTAATTGGTTGTGGAAGGATACTTGGCATCAGGCTGCCCTTTCTTGCCATACGCCCACTCAGGTTCGATTTCCAGTTGAGCCTTCTCTCCTTTACTCATTGTTAAGAGAGCTTCATCCCACTAAAAAAACACAACAAAACAAAACCAACAAAAGAACACAGCAGTCTTAGAGAGCTTAACAAAAAGTGCACGTCATAACACTTTTCCCATTTGCTCCTATGAATACTTGCGCCGCGCCACATCATTCTCTCCAGCACCCTCACCCACCCCAGAGTACGCTGTGCAGTTGTTCCACATTCTTTCTATTTGTGGAAACGCTCCCCCTTGGCCGATGTTCCCTGCTCCCACAATAGCCTGTACTGTACTTTGCAGTGCAGGTTCATGCTTTTCTGTTGTAAAGACATTAGTGAACCCATGAAGTAACATGCTCATTTCTAAGCAAGTATTCAGAGTTTCAGAATGCGTTTCACAGCTGACCACTGCAGACACTGTTCCAAGGGATTTGTCCCTCTCTGCCTCATGTTTCCTTACCATTCCACAGCATCAATGGATTAGCGTTTATTTAAGGCTGATGCTTAAAGACTAATTTTATTTCAGTGCTTGTCCCTCTTCAAGACTCGCGCACGCTGCCCAAAGCCGGTGTTCAGTTCAGCACCGTACCAACATCTCACAATGAACAGCTGCTGCTCCTGTTGTGTAGCTGCTCAAGGAAGATATCTGGCACCCACACAAACACAGGAGCGCTGTGCCAACAGACTAAAGAAAAAACCCAGGCGACTGCTGCTTCTGCAGTACTGGCCACAAGCCCAGGGACATTTTCCCCTTCCCAGTTCCAATCCTGTCACCCATAAAGGCCTTTTTCCTGCACAGCAGCAGCATGGAAGATTATGCTGGGTTGGGTTTGTTTTGTTTTTTCAAGTCAGGTAAGCACAAGATCCTCCTTACATTCTTACATTGTGCAGGCAGCCACAAATTTCACCAGTGGCTCAGCAGCAGCGAGGTAAGAGTTAAGCACCTCATTTGCTGTGCACATACGCTGGTATCTCCCCACACAACAAGTTTGCACCAGCATCTGTGACTTCAAGACGTAAGCTAACAGACGGGTGTGCAGAACACTCGATTCTTCTACCGAGTGCTTTTAGTCTACCTAGATATTCGCCCCCCGCCCCCCAGCTTCCACCTGCAGTACTTCAGCTCTCGGTGCTGGACAAAGCAGAGGAGTTGCAGCATCAAACTGCAACTCATTTCAGCACACGACAGCCAGAGGAATTTGGAGTTTCAGCATCCAGTTCAGAATTAATGGATGAACCGAACTATGCGTGAAGAGGCACTGAGGCAAATACAAAAAAGATGCTGAGAGAAAACAACCTTCTGATGGATGAAAGCACACTGAATGCATGCAGTGATTGAGAGAGCCCTGGGAAACCAATAACCTTGTCTATTGTGCAAAGCACTAGACAGACATGTGCAAGAGGCTGTGGTTGTCCTGAGGAACACGTAGTTGTTACACTGTTTTCCACACACTACTTCACGAGAGGAATGACACTGCAAATGGATGAATGCATCCGTAAAGAATAAGTATTACATCCTGTAATGTGGATGTAAACACTTTCAACTTGCCTTTTTACCTCCACAAGAAACAAGAACAGCAGCTCAAAATTTGCACCCCGGTCATAAATCCTGCAGAATGGAAACTTTTTGGATTCTGAGGAAGTCATTAATAGTTTACTTACACCTCTGATTACTTTTCCTACACCAACTTTGAAACTTAAAGGTTTGGCTGCTTTTTTCTTCTTTGAACCTGAAAGACAGTTTTATGTTGATTTGCTTTAACATCACACCAGCATATATCATACTTCTGTGTAAAATTACTGCTATGATCATGCTTTATATAAATATCTCTTCTTATAATATTATATTTAGCCCACTATCAGATTTTGAGGGGAAAATTTAGGGCTGTCCACTAAAAACATTATTAAATGTTCAAGTTGCACCAAGAGCTAAAGTTGATGAGCATCTTTCAGACACTGATCCAGTGAACCTCAAAGACTCATTTCTGAATTACTAAAGTTGATAGTACAAGTCATAAACACATTAGTGAAGCAAAAAAAGTCAACAGGTAACATACAATATCATACAAGTATGACGACTCACAGACAGTATTCCAGTGACATCACTGCTGGAAAAGCATTTCTAGGATTTCAGAATTTCATATACTTCAATCTTCTGATCGAGAAACTGTCACAGAAATACCAGCAGACTTGTCTGCAGTGGATACGGTACACCAGACTACTTCAAATCACTCTCATGCCAGCACCTCCACATTGAAGAGTTTATTATAGAAATACACCAAGATGTGTCTTTTTAAAGACGTTGACTACGCTGTTGGTGCTTGAGTTCCATAGATAAGGGAAACTCCCTGAGCAGGAACCATCTTTCCTCCAAAGTAGTTTCAGCACTGCTTAAATCCCCACATTTCACATCATCTATGGCCTGGAGAATGCCCAACGTGAGGTCTGGCAAGATGCAGCAGTGTCACTTGACACCAGCCAGTCCTAAAATACTGCCCTGCACTACCTCATGGAAAAATCAGGCTCCAGGAGCGGGCTGCAGGGACGCCCCCAGTCAGCTCAACAAGACGACAGTAAAAGCAGTTTGTCAGGACTCCTGCCATGCACACCTTCCATGAGCAAATGCCTGCCCGAGGTTGCTTAATGAGCCTGGCTAATTTCCTCTATGTGCATTTGCAACAAAAGCCAAACAGTGTATATATATGACCTTACTTGTTTGAATATTGGTATCGAAGACTGTTCCATCCTGTAGTTTTCCTGTATACCAGCAATGAACAGTGTCTCCTTTCTTCGGAAAGTTGGTTTTATCGCCCTTCTTTAAAATTGATTTTGTATACTTTGGTGGCCCCTAAGTTTATAAAAAACAGAGTTATGACTGCTGCATTAACTAGTCTCAGACCAACTACATCCAAGACCGAACAACCACCTAGTTCAAGGCACCAAACGAGCACGTGCAGCGCTAGTGCGTGGCACGTTCCTGTGTTATTGCAGGGCTGTGATATTTGGGGAAAACGTAGCAGCCTGGGTGCAGTTTTCCGCAAAGACTGAAGCTTTGGGAGAGATGCACGGGGCCCATCGCTAATTCAAGTTACAGAAGCAGCTTAAGGTTCAGGCACGGTACGAACACCAGCCGTCTTGCCGCAACCAGGTTTTGGAAGACCCGTTTAATTCGGCTGCCCCACGCGATCGCCCAAACAACGCGAGGCGGGGGGTGCCGCACCGACCTCCTCCACGGCCTCCTCGGGCTTCGCCGCTTTCCCCTTGGCCTCCTCCACCTTAGCGGGCTTCGCCTTCTCCGCCGCCTTCTCCGCGCCGTCCGTGCCCTTGAACCGCTGAGGGGAGGGAGAGGGGCGGCAGCCGTCAACCGCTG